CCGGACGGTCATGTAATGCGGCTTTCCGCGGTGGGAGGTTTGGGGAGGGTTGCGCCGATGCGGTTTCCCGTCCGATGGGAGGGACCGTTGGGGGTGGAGGTATCTTCTGTCTTCCTCTGGGTCTCGTGTCCTTCACACCACTCCGATCACCCACGGGGACATCGTGGGCGCCGGGGAGAGGCCGGGAGGGGACGCGGTGAGAGGGTGTGCTCCTGTCTGAGTGACAAGTGAGATGGGGTGATTTTGCACGGCATTGGGCGATATAGCAGATTAGGTTTTGCGTGTGAGTGGCCTCTCTGGGCTGGCTACGTGGACGTGGGCTTGGCTGGTTGGGTGTATCTCAGACGGATCATGATATCCGTCGGTCTCGGCGGCCGAGGTGATGTTTCTGCTGTGAGGAGAGGACCATGTTTCGCACGGGGGGCTTCGAGGGGTGTGCGGGTTTGTGTGTGTGTGTCTTTCTGGTGAATCTCTTGTCTCGGAGTGGACACTGAAAAGGGTGCGCCCGCTGCTGAGCTGTGAGCGTGGGATGTACTGGATGCGCAGGTCTGTGTCATTGGTTTTTACAGTGGTCTTCTTTTCCTTCGTGGATGAGCTTTGAAATTTGACTGGTGAGTTGTTTTTTGTGGTAGTGGAGTTGGGAGAAAGGCTGATCGTGATTCGATGTTGATCTTCCTCTTCACCACCCCCTGACTTCGAGGTTATGCGTGTTGACAGCTGGCGGCTGACGGGATATACCGCAATATCTGGGATAGATTGCGGCCAAAATGAAGCGTGACAGAAGGGCCGAGAGTTTGAAAGTACTTCGCAAGCCTCGGCTGTTATTTCTCTGCGATCTGTGGCGGTGGCCATGCTGCTACATGCTACTCATCGTCGAGGGTGTCAGTCATGTTTCGTCAAGAGGATCGAGGAGATACAAAGGGTCCTCTGGATCGAAGAATAGAAGGATATGAAACGGGGGACGCTCGGGGGATTTGATTATATTAAGGACTCGGCCGTGTTTCTCCGTTGTTTCTTGATGTTCTTGGTCGTAGCTTGGGGGAGATCCTTTACGCCTCAATGAGTTGGGAACGGATGTTGCCGCTCTTGATATTAGTAGATTATGTCAAGAAGAAGGGAGATCCTGCATCACTCTACGCACTTCTGTGTTTATTAATCTAATGGCGAAGATGTTAAGACTTTGGGGCGGTTCCTTCGCTTCGTCTTGCCTAATTCTGTCTCAAGGCTTCAGGGGACTTCAATTTTCCCATAGAAGTGAGGACATACTAAGATGTGACACCCAATCGCATGAATTAAAGCTTGGTGAGCTTTCGAGAAAAATGTCGAAGAGTCTCGCATGCTGTAAAAGCCAGTGTGTCTGACAATCGACGATATCAGCGATAGTTTGCTGGACGTTGAAGCTCGACCTGGCGGTTTGTCTGCGATACTGGACTACTTTAATTAATATTGTTACAATGAATCCCTAAAACCATGAAAGGATATTTACTCTGTGGTTGAAATGTCAACACAAAACTGGACGTACTTGATCCGATCTTCACTCGTTCCTTCCTCGAGTCCACGATCGAGGTGTTTGTTAAGGCCTCAGGTCATCGGTGTTAGAATCGTACCAGCTCTGGTTCCAGACTACATCTTAACTCTGGTTTATTTTGTTTTCTACAAATCAACTCTAAATTCGTTGCTTTCTTGCAAAATTTTGTTGCCTACGGAGTTTAGTGAGTGTTGTTATAATAGCAACGCTTGAGGGCGATGCAATGTTGGATTCCAATGTCACAGTCATGTAACCAAGTCGACCAACCTAAAGTCAACATGAGCAAGGCACATCCCGTAGCTAAAGTTTGACCTTTACTGATCAGATAGGCATGATGATTGCCTTACATCGTCCACCTAAAAGCTTCGACAGGGACCTTCAAGACCTGGTGTGTTGTTGAAGCTCGCACCAGCATGCCGTTTTGTCTAGGGCATGCAGCAAACCACGTTGGTTGATGATTTCCCCATCGGCGGACTCGAAAATTTGGTCGAGCACGCGTTAAAATGGCATACAAGCTCAACATGCCCGAGCTCTCCCAAAAGGTTCCTAAGAGCAATGACGTATCTCCTATCCAACATTCGTGTCACTGTCCTCCCTATATCGTGAGCAACATCTATCGGTTTCATGCCAGTAGCATAGCGAACTTCAGCATGATGGGTTAGTCATTCGAAAGTACGAAGTCGTATCGTAAATCAAAGCACTGCGAACTTCCTATATGATCGAGAACGCAATCTTTTGTGACAGCCAACCTTTGACATTCAAGTCGACATCATCAAGATAGGTTTCAGACGTTGAGCGGATAGCCTTTGATTCATCGCTATCATTACAATTACTCTGCCCAGTGCGGCAAGTAGAACTTTACGTTCTCATACACGAGGAACGTGACCCATGTAGCTGGCATCACCCTAACAACACCGGGCATCAGGCCTCGGTAGAAGCCCCTGAATCCCTCCTCCTGCCATATCCTCCTCACGACGCCTCTGATTCCGCGTCCGAACCGCTCATCGGCATCATAATTCTGCAGTCTGCTGCGCAGGACTTGGTAGGGGTAGGTAACAGCACCGGCCACAAGCTTCGATACTGTCGAGATGACGACGGTCGCCTCGTTGCTCAGCCGGCCCCCGTTGTCACCCTTCTGCCTCCGGCCCGCAAAGTACATTCTCTTGGCAGGCTCGTACACAGCAAACTGTACGGCGCCATGCGATACACCGATCAAGCTCACTCCGAGTCCTCGGTAGAATCCTCTCAGCCCTTCGGTCATATACAGTTGGCGCGCCCCAGACCACATATTTGAGTACGCGCCCACAGCAGTGCGATCAGATGATACCATGCGTGTCTTGAGAACCCATATAGGGTTCGTCAGGACTTGGGTGAGGGCGCCGGCGAGGGCGGATGACAGGAAGAAGTCCTGCGTTGAGAGCACCTCTTTCGTCAGACTTCGCGAGTCTGCGCCTGAGCCGTGCGAGGTCGCAAGCGGCCCGGCTTTCCAGTACGCAATGGCGCGCTCAACGCGGTTCTTGAAAAAGAAGAACGCTGACCAGCTTGAGGCGTTGCCGATGAGATTAGGCGTCAGTCCGCGATAAAGCGATGCGATGGGGCGCGGGTTCTGGGTGAGACTGCGGATGAGGGAAATTGTGGTCAGGCTGGTCGAGTTTCCGGCAGTGCTTCTGTGGACTGCGAATTCGGTCAATTTTCCGTGATTTCCAACCTCTAAAAAAGGGGTTTACTCACTTTGCATCCGAGTCTTGACGATATCAAGCGGATGAACCGTCAACGTCGCGACTGAGCCGGCCGAGAGCCCGGCGATGGACTCGACGAGCGCGGGTGAGAGGCCCGCATGTTTGCTGTCTGACATAGAAACGAGACCTTCCGTCACATTTCAATATTCAGATGTAAACGTGCCTCGTGCACTCTGTCGACGTCGGCTCTCGAGGTGGAAGTTAGAGATGGTAGCTAAGAGTGAGTGAAGCTTTAGTGTGGCTGACAGCAGCTTACAAAAAATTGCTACGTCATTTTTAGCTCGCAAAATTGCGGCTCCGCCACGATAATTGGAGCTCTAGCCACAACCGACTTCTTCAACGGCTCATCGTGACGAGGGATGCAGACGTCAATGACTCTAGCTGTCAAAGCAGTGTTGATGGGTGCATATTCCAGTTTGGGCCGATCTCTTACATTCGGAAGGCTAAGAAATTACAGGCGCACATCGGACATCAATTGCGCATTACCCAATGCAACGTTTTCGGCGTTGAGGGAGTACGCAGAATAGCTCATCTACGGAGCGTTTCCTTTTTGCCCAACTGATCTGTTTTTCACGTTGACCTGCTTTTGAGCCTGCTCATCCTGTATCTTTGCTCTGTTTGACTGAAGTGCAGTCAACCCCTAGATCGAGTCCTTCCGGGTCTTCGACTTAGGGTCGATCCACAGGCCCCAACTCTAGATCTCTATTCGAAAGCTCAGTCACAATGTATTGGGACCAATCCATGATATGGGAAAACGTCTGGGTCGTCAGAGAGGTTTCATTCGATTACATATCTAGTTGTACAGTTCGTCGAGGCCGTGGCCTTCTCCTCCCAAGCCTTCCAAGCCTGGTATCCATGATTTCATCCCTGAAATACCGGCTTGCCTGAAGGTATTTTCCGAAAGCCTTGTATAGTACATAAAGTCGACATCGAGCCGCATGTCATTTAAGAGAGGGGGGACAGGAGGCTGCCAAGGGTTAGCTTTCAAGTTAACGACAAATATCGTGAACACATAGCATACCGGATGAAAGGCGGGCGAGGCTCGCTGCGAGTGTAGCCTGTGGTTGGAAAGTCAGTTTCAGGGATATCTATCGTTAGACATATCGTTCGTACCGAGGTAGAGGATCAAGGGAAGGTAGCCACTACAGCTCTGTCAGTAATTTGGTCAAAAGTCACGGAAATGTGATGGAAGCGTACTAGTGAATGGCGACGCGGGAGATCTCAATGATCTTGCCAATGCGCTCCTGTAGAATCGATGATGAGTTTGTGTTTGATGCGACGGCATGCAAGCTGCGGGGCGCTGTAGTACCTTGGACTCTTCGGAGAGGGCGAACATATTGACGGAGTTATAGACTTGGACGTTTGAAGTTTGGTCTATCCGATCAAGTCTCGTGCTCGACGGGGGTATTCGCCTGTATACGCGGGGTCTCGTCGTCGTGCGTTCGGACGGGCGATGGTGGATGCGCTGGACTGGACCTGAACTTTTTCTCAGCTGCCTCACCGGAAAATTCGCGACGTGGGGCCGGAACAACCACGCAAGCTTTCTTATCGGACCTTGCAATGCGATAAGGTACGTACCTTTTCGCAGCTCGACCGCGTTCATGTCGAGGCCAAAATTTCCAGGCTGGAGGTTGGACAACTGCTGTCATTTCGCCCAAACACACCTTTACCCACGCATTTCATCTTCCTTACCTCTGGGTTCTTGATCGCACTAGGAGTGCCAGAAAACCAAAATGGCGCAGAACAGGCATTGGTGCGTCTCGATCCAACTGCATGGAGAAGTAAGCTAACCATCTGATTGTGTAGGGAACAGGACAAAGATGCGACCATCTACATCGGAAACATCGACGAGCGCGCGAGCCCGGCGATGGTTTACGAGATAATGCTCCAGATGGGCCCCATTCACAACATCCACATGCCCCGCGATCGCGTCACCCAGAATCATCAAGGTTTCGGTTTCGTCGAGTTTCGCACCCCCGGAGACGCAGAGTACGCCGCGAACGTGATGAACGGTATCAAGCTATATGGCAAATCGCTGCGCGTCAACAAAGCCAGTGCCGATAAGCAAAAGCAGGCAGAAGTTGGCGCCGAGCTTTTCGTTGGTAACTTGGATCCTATGGTCGACGAAAAGATTCTGTACGACACGTTCTCGCGCTTTGGACCGCTGGTCAGCCTGCCGAAGGTTGCCAGGGAAGACAGTGGCAACTCCAAGGGTTTCGGTTTTATTTCGTACGCCGACTTCGAGAGCTCCGATGCAGCTATAGCAAACTTGCACGGACAATACATTGCCAGCAAGGAAGTCTCGGTTCAATATGCATTCAAGAAGGACGGAAAGGGCGAGAGGCATGGTGATGCAGCGGAGCGTGAACTGGCTGCACAGGCGAAGAAGAGGAACATCGTGCCCGAGATCCAGGCAGTACCGCCAGCTTTCTTGATGAACGGGAATGGCCCACCTGCAGGCGCCGTACCCGTTGCGCCCGCCGGTTTCGACCCCTCGAACGGTCTACCGGTTCCCGTACCTAATCCTGGAGCCCCTGCCGGATTCGCTCCCCCTCGAGGACCTGCGCAGTACAATGCGGTGCCGCCGCCGCACAATATGGGAGGACCCGGGGCCGGTCGTGGTCACGTCCTCCCGCCTCCTCCGTCCGGTCTGCCAGCACGTCCGCCCCAAGGCCAGGGTGGTTACACCAACCCTGCCGACTTCCACCCCGGCGCCCCAGGGTTCCGTCCTCCTAGCGGCGGTCCTCCGCCTCAAGGGTTCGCTGCGCCTCCGCCTAACTTTCCCGTCCCTCCCCCGGGCCAGACTGGAACTCCTCCCGCTCCTGCGGGTTTTATGCCGCCTCCAGGCTTCAACCCGCCCGGTTTCCCAAGGCGATGAATGGCTCAGGGGTGTTGATCGCTTTTACCAGTATCGAGTTGCCCTCAATGGGGTATCACAGTAATGCAAAGCAGGCGTTAAGGAAAGGAACATTATGGGAGTTGGTCAAAAACAGGTCGAGAACATTGCAATGGTCTGTCGTCACTTCAAATGGACGGGGTCGCCATTGCTAACAGTCGTATAGATACCTCTGGGGCCATCGTAAATATTATCACGCATTGAAGTAAACAACTGGTGTCGATAGTCCATCAGTGACCGGGAACGTGTTTCTCACTGTCTTAGCTGTTGAGTATGCTTGACTGAGAAGTTAGTCTTTGTCAAACTTGATGCAGTGACAAACTACTTAATGAAGACAGCTACATTTGTCTGCATGGGCATGCATGCATATCCGTCGCGTTTCGGGGCTCAGCGGCGCGTGATGGTAATGCATCTTGGCCTTCGAAACGTCACTACCCCGCATTGCCAGATCAATAACTAGTAGTAATTCCACTGTTTGCTAGGCTCATTGCAAAGGGGTCTGACTAAAAGTAATGCAATTCGAGTCAAATCACGACGTTCAATGTTGTCCCTTGATGGAGTCGTGGACCGTTCTCCTCTTTGCCCGGGGGCCACCGCCTCTTGTAATCGAGATAAGCTCGTCGGAGCCTCCCGATATCCCTTGCATGCATCAGCGTTTCCAGGTCATTAGCGCCCTGTTGCTAGGCACATCCCCCGCCTAAGTGGCTTAAACCAGGCCTGTCACGAGTGCTATATGAGTGCGGGGTTCCCCGGCTTGCCACTGCTGCAGCGGCTGAACGACCACCTTCACACCCTCTTTGATCTCATCCAAACCTATCTTCTTTTAACACTCATCAATATTCACCATGGATTCTCAAGTCAAGTATTTGCTTTCCCTTAAGGCTGTCCGCGATCGGTCCAAGATTGTGGGAGAGGCCGCCAAGTCTGGCAAGCTGAGCCACTTTGAGGTTCGGGAAGATAAGCTGGATGAGGTTGTCGACTTCGTTGCTTCTGTGATCAAGGTAAGGGGTAGATGATTCTCTCATTCTTGTCTCCAACTAACAAGTCATCTTGAAGCGTGACTATGGGCCAGACAAGTTTGACACAATCCCTCCTCACGGGCGCTGGCAACATTTCGAAGTCGGAAATGTGCCCCGCGTCGCCAACATCATGGAGGAGTGGAAGAAGGAGGGGTGTGACAAGACTGAAGTGACCCGCCGCCTCATCGACCTCTTCTTTGTCTCTGTGCTTTTGGACGCTGGTGCAGGCGACCACTGGAGATACACAGAGCCCGGAACCGATCAGGTCTATGAGCGTAGTGAGGGGATCGCTGTAGCCAGTCTCCATATGTTCAAGTCCTTGTCTTACACCTCAGGATCTATTCCGATAGTCGATGGTAAGCACTCAGATATTTGATACTTCTCCCAAAACAGAGCTTACATATACTGAACAGGCAAGGGGCTGGAGAAGCTCCAGACCGATGAGCTTGCAAAGGGCTTCCAAGTGTCTGACAGCAACCCCATGTTAGGAGTCGACTCTCGTGCGGCACTTCTCAGGAGCTTGGGAGGGTCATTGCTTGCTCACCCAGATGTCTTTGGAGCTGAAGGCCGCCCGGGTAACCTGGTTGGTAAGTTTTGTATTCTCAAAGCTTGTATGTGTGACCTTACTAATTGGACTTTAGACTGCTTGATCAAGTCAGCCGGTGACTCTGCCAAGCTCGATGTTCTATTCCTCTGGGACACCCTCCAAGCTCTTCTTATTCCCTGCTGGCCTAAAGATCGCACAACAATCAACGGCACACCAATTGGCGACGCATGGCCTTTGAGCACCCTCAAGAACACGTCCGGCAGCTCTGACCCTGCAGACGGAATTCAACCCTTCCACAAGCTCACCCAGTGGCTTACGTACTCCCTGATGGTTCCCTTTCAGAGAGTCTTGGGCTTGGAGTGGACCAACGCGGACTCTCTAACGGCTCTACCAGAATACCGCAATGGCGGTCTGTTCGTCGATCTCGGTGTCCTTGTCCTGAAGAAGGACACCCTCGACCGCGGACTGAAGGCATCGGGTGAAGAGCTGCCCATGTTCGATGCGGGAGATGATGTTGTTGTGGAGTGGAGAGCCATGACGCTGGTGCTGATTGACAAGCTGTACGGCAAGATCCAACCCCGCATGGGTGATGGCGTTCAGCTGAGCATGGCGCAACTGCTGGAGGCTGGTACGTGGAAGTCCGGGCGTGAGGTTGCGGCGCAGCGGAGGCCGAAGACGAAGTCGAGTCCCATCATCATCAAGAGTGATGGCACTGTGTTTTAGACGACTCGCATTCTTGAAGTAGCCTTCCGAATGAAATTTTGAATTTCGAACTCATCAGCTGCAAGCCAATCTATGGTTGTAACAATCTCGTCTCGATCATCCCTTATGTCAAATGATAGCTATCTCAGTTTCTTCCCAATCTTCGAAGCTTTCCACAAATTCATCAATGTCGACTCGCGTCTGATTCCTGACGACAACACCGAGCCGTCGGTATATGAGCTCCTTCCCAGACACTCGCTCCAGAGCCAATTGGTATGCCCTGCCACCAATAAACCGCACAATGCTGATCAGCATGAGCAGAAATCTCGGGGGTTCTGGGTATGTGTCGTCGTCAGGAGCATCATCTACTTCTGCAGATTCAGATACAGGAGGTGTCCACCCGGGGTCGTCAACATAGAACTCTGGAGGCTCGTACCAACCAGGTCTGGAAATGACAGGCCGTGGCTTCAAAAACTGCTCGTCCTTCTGAACAGCTTCTTCAAATGCTATTTTGGATACCTTGCCTCGAATCAGTATCGTTCCACTAGCAACTCTTCCGTAGGCATCGACTCCCTTTGGCACTGTAACAGCGGACACCAAACTTGCACAAGATACTGATGTACTGCCGTCTTCAACATATATAAACTCGATTCTGGCTGGTACAGACACCCAAGACCAGCTGGGCCCAAGATATTCAGCAGGTGCATCGCTATGTGGCTTCCCTCTGCGCCTCCAAAGCAGAGATCTCAGGATATCATGTCTCCATATCCCAGCAAGGTATTGATCCGGCTCGGGAGGCTTGAAGCGATTTGCGATTCCCGATAATGCTGGCAAGCGATCCATGATGGTGGTAAACTGGCACGACGAATACTTTGCAACTGTTCCCCTCCACCAACGGTAATATCCGAAATCCGTCTCCCACCTTGTTGCATGAACGGGAGGATAGGTTGGGTTTACAGTTGAGTCAGGATGAGGGAACACCCCCTGATAAAGGCTCGTATCATATCGTGCACCCTGATGACATACCATGTACATCTGTCCTGGAGCAAAATTGAGCGTGCGGCGCGAAAGCAGGCCCTCTTGGAAAATCCACCCACGGCCTTGCAGTACCGAGTTGTGGTCCGGCACTTCGGGGAATTCAGAGAGGGTGTCGCGAAGCGTCCAACCGGGGCTTTGCAGTACTGAACTCCGAGCATGGTCTTCAGGTAACTCAGGGAAGGCGTCATGAAGACCACCGTGGGTAGAGGGTCGTCCTGGGTAGTATAGAGTTAGGTGCTCCTGGGCATTGCCAAGCTCATCGCGATATCGCAGCTTCGTTTGGTATGAAGGGTTCCCAAGAAACTCCCGTTCTCTCAATAAACCGGAATGAGAGTCTATTGCTGCTGTTCCCGCTATGGTCAAAACGGAGCCCTGGTAAATGGATGCCATTCGAGGACACTCAAGCTCCCAGTCTTCTGTGTCGTCCTGTACGATACACAACGAGTCGATCCACAAGTACTGGTATCCAATAGTATGTGTCACAATAACAGCGTCTCTGAATGTTGCCGGGAGATCCAACGTATGAATCCCTCTGTGTACGTGGCTGTGTACATTTTCCTTCCTGGTTGAGGCGGTTTTCTTATGGCCCCATCGATGGCTTAGAGTGACGTACTTGTATCTTTCCCCTTGAATTGTTTGAATTAGCCGGACCCGGTGAGCATCTTTATCTATTTGCAGAAGACGTGTAGGATTCTCGCTCTGATCCGGTTGTTCAGACGTGTATCTCTCTATACAAATGTGGTCGTCGTGATTGCAGTGCGAAATCCATTGCTTAGCGAGCATCAAGTCTGGAATTTTGTCACATTTCCTGGCCATGAACCCTCCTCTTTGTAAGCTTGAGGTATTTCCTGTGTCCAGTCAGATTTTGACATTCTTGAAGGCTTGTCATTCGGTCTGTTTGTCGGGAGAAATAACTAACGAACTTGCCTTCATCACTCCCAATTAGAAAGCCGGCTCTTTTCTCAAAGCTGAGGAATCTGAAGGAAATAAGACTGCAATCCCAGCGGTGCGTCGGATTATTAGTCTCCAGATGAGTGCGCCCATCGTACCTCTGGCGAAGCGCTCTTCTTATGACACGACCATCAATAAGGGTTGGTCCTGACGCGTGGCTCTGAATCCAGCTGTCTACTTCTTTCATGGTCTCCAGCCTGTTATCTGAGGAACTCTCCCGAAACTGGGTTAGACAGCCGGCTCTGAAAACCTGACAAAGTCTGCAGCCTCTTTCAGATGATTGTTTTAGAGAGTCCCAGTCGTGATGTTCATATCTGAACTCGGCCAGTTCATGATCGTGCACACTGATAATTGGTAGCTGTGGGCGCAGAAGTCTCTCCTCAAGCTCGCGGCAACGTCCACAAAGATGAAAAGTGACTATGTCAGGTAAACAGGTCGGGATTGAGATGTAAGACAGTCTTTGCCAGCTCCTGAGGAAGTTTCGTAGACGGGACGAATGCCTTGATGATTCTTGCCTATCAGAGACAAGAGGATTGCTTAAGTGTGCTTGAAGCTCGTCGGGTTGTGACTCTACCGTAGGAGACATGATAGATTCGAATATCGGACGTGAAAGTCGAGAAACTCCGGTGACAGAGATTGACTGCTTCTTCGAAAAGCCTGAATGCGGTTGAAAAATTTAAACAACGCTGAGACCAGGCTTCAAATAGGCCGGGACAGAGGTCAGCGTCAGCATCGTGCATGAACCCTTGACGGCACCCAATCATCCGTAGCTTGGCATTACGAGCAGTGCGAAGTGAGCGAAGAACATAAAGAAGTGGCGTTTAGAACGTTGGCGTGTATTGTCAATTCGGTTGGGAGGTTTCTCGCTAGTGGTTTGCGAATCAAGTGAATACAAGCCCTGAACGTTCTGAAGGTAACCTGGTCTCTAAGGACCAGTGGAGCTTCAGTAGCAAAGGCATCGCGTGGTTTTCCTGTAACTGCGAGGCTGAATTTCCTGCATGCGTCATACCTAAATTTCGAATTATACCTTCGTTATGGATAGTAGTTGAAAGGACTATCACAACAGAGACGGCGGCAGCACAGACGACGACAATAGGAGCGACGATGACGATACAAGTGATGACGACGACGACAGTAAGGCAGAGTGCACATGGGCCCATGGAGAACGTAGTCGCTCTAGCACAGTAAATATAGAGGTCTACTCTCAAGAAGACAAACCTCCCGTAAAGATGTGGACGCCAAACCACGTGCGTGATGGTCAGAGATGAATAACCAGGATGCGTCGTCACTGTCCCAGGCTTCTATTGTACAGGTGATTATATACAATGAGTTTACAAGTTTTCTTTGTCATACATTCGCTATGACGAGGATTGCTTCTCGTCAGTCTCCGTTTTGTTTTCCTCCGCGTCGACGTCCTCAAGATCAAGAACGTTCCCTTCCTTCGACTCGTTACCATTCAGCTCCTCGTGCGGGTGCCTCCTCCACTCCTTCAAATATCCAAACGCCTCGTCGTACGTCATGACTTCATCCTTGCCGAAGACGTGAACCGGCAAATCTTTCTCAATGTTGTCCTTCTCCTGGCGATATCGACGACCCTCATCACTGAACTTCTTCAGATTCCCTTTGAACATCTTGTACCACTCAGTGTCCCGGTGCTCGTCTCCCTTTTCCAGAGCTTTTCTTCGCCTGTCTTTCAGGCGCCTGTAAAGCTTCTGGGCCTGTGCCACGTCGATTTCATCGAGGGAGTACTCTAGTTGCCAATCCAGCCTCTCAGATTTGGAGACCGGACGTTCCACCACTTTTCCGTTGACGGTGTTCCGCACTGTCAAGTGCATACCCAAAAGCTCATCGTCCGCATCGTCCTGTTCTTCAGGTCCGCGCTCGACAGTCTCCTGGCTTGAATGTTCTGGGCTTGTCAAGGGATTGCTTGGAGCGTCGATCTCATCCACTCTCGTAGTTAAACCGCTGTCTTTGGTCTTTGATTTGGCTACAAGCTCCGAGAGAATCAGTCCAAAGTTTGAAAGCTTAGAGTCGTCTGAGACCCCATCTTCGTCGGCTGCTTGAATATCGTCGTACTCAGGCTTCTCATCTACGCTTAGGGCGAGGCGAAGAATGAGCTCCTTAAGACTTGTGTCGCGAGACCGGCGTGCGGCTGAATCCTGCTCCTCGACGGCGGCATCAGACTCAACGTCTTGCAGCAGCTCCGTCTCAGCTGCCTGCGCATTTGCCTGCGCAGTCTCCGTGAGCTCATCGGTTGTGGTCGCCTTGTCTGACACACTCATTTCGCCTGCCGCATCGATTTCGACTGCCAATGACCCGCTCTCGACGTTCGTGGATTTGGTTTGCCTAACATCCTTGGCGCTGCGGACCAGAACTCCGAGTAAGGCATCGACGTAAGTATCCGCTTCTTGGGGAGATCTTGCCTCTAGCAACCCGCTCTGCTGAAGAGCATCGCGAATGGCTTCGCGCACGTGGTCGACACCCAAGGCATCATCCTCGATAGCTGCATCCACCTTCTCCTGCATTTCTTCCCAGAATTCCTGGGTCTGCAGCTGTTGAGTCCTAGTTCCGTCCACAACAGCCTCGACCTCTTCCTCAGCCGCCTGTTCCAATTCTGAATCTACGTCTTCAGCTTCCATTTGTTCACGCTCTCCCTCCTGGACGAGTCCAAGAATCTCCTTCTCGTACTCGGCAATCGCTGCATGTTGAGTTGTCTGGATCTTCTCGATTTGTTCATGCGTAACAGGCTTTGCGAAGATGTACATGAGTGGAGGGTTGGTCGGCCGAGTCTCGATGTGAAGGCGGATTGAACGTCCAGGGAAACGCTTGGTGGCACGGTCTAGCACCTTATTGAGCAGGTGAAGACTAAGCTTAAACTCCAGGTCTCCGAGTTGTTTGTCCTCTGTACCGTGAAGAGCCAAGTCCATCTCCTCTAAGCTGATGTATTGGAAACCGAAGATGCGCTGAGTGTTGTGGTATGCCACAAAGATACCGTCCATTCGGCCCATCCGCACTTGCAGAGAGTATTTGAG